TTTCTCCCGTATACATATTGTGCTTCTGTGGTATATCATTTTTTGTTGAAACATTTACTTTCTAAATTTTGTCTGCTATTAGTGAAATCACGAAGACATCTGCTCGTTACTTAATAGAAATTTTTACATAAGAAAAATATGAATTTCAGACCACCTAAGTCAAGCTTTGTTCAAGAACGAGCTTGACAAAGCAAATACCCAAAGCCGAAAAATTTGTATAGCTTCACGCAGAACTGACTGTTGCCGTATACTTACTATTCTACCAAATTCACATGATGCATGTTCCACGACAAATACTCCACTATCACTTACATAGATCTTGAACTGAGGATACTGGTACTTCAGAGTTCGGACTTGCTGCTCAAGACCTCCATTCCACAAATAAAAGAAAGCATCATGAAAGTACTTGAATAGGAATCCATTATCAAAAAACGCCACTTTGTGTCTGAACCAGAGCTTACTTTACCACGTTGAGTTCCCAAAAACAAGCCTACCTGAAGAAGCTAAGTATTTCATCTGTCATTTGTAACTGACCGTCTGTCCCTTCGATGCTGATAATCACGGCCTGCTCAACTGGATCCCATGCTGTGTATCCATGACAATGCACGTCTGAATGAATGCCAAAATTTGCACTCGTCGTGAAAAAATCCAGAGTGAAAAAATGTACCCGGCGTTTCTGCTGCACAGGGAACGCGGACACTTTGATAGTAGGATGCATGAGGGATTTGGGCTCTGATTGAAGAAAATATAAGTGCAACAATAAAAACAAATTTGGCGTATATGAAGAGTACAAGATAGGCGCCTAATGTTCCAAACAATTTTTACAGTAGCCAACGAGAGACTAGTCGCGAACGAAGGCGAATGTCCAGTCACGCATAGCGGGTGTGAACGCAGCGATCGAGCGCCGTTTATCGTTAGAGCGCGCAACGCGCAGGGAGCTCCTTATGCCCCTAATCATCGTCCTGAGCTAGCCTACAGTTAAAATGATCGCCGTTATACATATACAGCGCATGTTAAGCATTCACGCTCTATATGTACTCCTAATGTATTCTAAGATGACAACGAGCATTTTGATTTATGAACAAACTAGCTGGCATACACGGCTCCGCCCGGTCCAGTAAATCCCAGTCCCGTAGCTCAAACTTTGCAAAAAATCGATAAA